TGGATCCGCAAGAGCGCGAGCGCCGGGCTGTTTGACAACTGATGTTGGGAAGCCCAGTTTGTTACACGTTGTCGGGGCACTCGGTTTGGAAATCCTTGGAAACCGAGGGTTTGTGATTATATGTATCATCGTTGTGTTCATTATACATTCGCTACGCTGTTTTTACAGAGAAAGGAATTTCGGCATGTGCGCGCGACGACGCGCACGCGTGCAGTTTGCCCCATTTGTTGCAAATGTTTCTTGCGACAACACGCTCGCGCAAGGGCGTACTAACGATTTCGACGCGCACGCGAGAGGCCAAGGTGTAAGCAAGCATGTTACGAACGTGTTGAAATACCTATGGTGTTTTCCTTGAGGAGTTCGCAAGGACGCGGGCGCCATTGTGTTTCAACATTCGTATTGCAAAATCATGCGTTTGTTTTGTGTTTCGTGCAGTTGATTTTGTCCTACGAAGCCTAAGGTGTTTGACTTGGTGCGGGAAGCGCGCGCGACGACGCGCGCGTGCGCACCCCGCCCCATCCTATGCAAAGGGTTTTTGGAAATAGATAATTGTTGACAAACGCGAGCGCGCGCATTGTATTTTTCCCAACCATCCTGTGGTGTTGGGTCTTCGTTTTGAAGACACAGCGCCCCGCGTCCCTCCTCCTCCCCTCTCCTCTCCTCCTCCTCACCTTCCTCCCCCTCCCCCCTTCCTCCCACCAACCATCCTGTGGTGTTGGGTCCTCGCTTTGATGAAACAGCGCCCCGCGTCCCTCCTCTCCTCTCCGTCTCCTCCCCGTCTTCTTCCCCTTCCTCCGTCCTCCCATCCGCCTCGTCACTTCCCTGCGTGCCACCCACCCACTACAGCGTTCCGTCGCTCCATACGGGGCTCCGCCGAAGGCTCCAGTGGCAGGGTCCGCATGCGCCAACGCCACCCAAGACAGCGCTTCGTGGGCCCATAGGGAGCTCCATCGAAGGCTCCAGTGGCAGGGTCCGCATGCGTCAGCGCTACCCAGGTCAGCGTTTCGTGGCCCCATATGGAGCTCCACCAAAGGCTCCGGTGGCAAGGTCCGCATGCGTCAACGCCACCCGGGACAGCGTTTCGTGGCCCCACAGGGAACTCCACCGAAGGTTCCAGTGGCATGGTCCGCATGCGTCAACGCCACCCAGGGCCGCGCTTCGTGGCCTCATAGGGAGCTCCGCCGAAGGCTCCAGTGGCAGGGTCCGCATTCGTCAGCGCTACCCAGGACAGCGTTCCGTGGCCCCAGAGGGAACTCCACCGAAGGCTCGAGTGGCAGGGTCCGCATGCGTCAACGCCACCCAGGACAGCGCTTCGTGGGCCCATGGGGGCTCCACCAAAGCCTCCAGTGGCGGGGTCCGCATGCGTCAACGCCACCCAGGGCCGCGCTTCTTGGCCCCATAGGGAGCTCCACCGAAGGCTCCAGTGGCAGGGTCCGCATGCGTCAACGCCACCCATGTAGGCACACCCCTCACACGGTTCGTGGCCCCACAGGGAGCTCCACCGAAGGCCCCAATGGTAGGCGCTTCGTGGCCCCATAGGGAGCTCCACCGAAGGCGGCAGTGGCGCAGTTCGCATGCGTCTCCCCCACCCATGACAACACTTCGTGGCCCCAGAGGGGGGCTCCACCGAAGGCCCAAGTGGCGGTGTCCACATGCGTCCGCGCCACCAATTTCGGCGCCTCCTTCGCACGATTCGTGGCCGCATAGTGAACTCCACCGAGAGCGTTACCCACAATGCGGCATTCGCAGCTGCATTTGGTTTGGTCCTTCGTCAAGCTAATTGTGCAAAGGATGGCGGGGGGGGGTGGGCTGGGCTGGGCTGGTACGAGTTCATATATCGGATGGACGATGGAGCAGGGGCACAATCGTATGTGAGTTGCAATACGAAGAGAGGCACAGTTAATTCCGGGGGGAGGGCTTAACTATTCTTGTAGAATGAAAAATGAATTCCTGGCCGCAGTGAGTTGTCCCCTCCACTGCTCGCGCAATCATCCCACCCACCCATCCGCAACTTTGTTTGCCAAACCCATGCGGCGGCGATGGCGATGACTGTTTGGAATTGGCTGGTGCGTACCTGCGGCGGCACTAACCCGCGCATGCTCGTGCGCGTATCGGCCAGATAGTTTGGCGCGGCCGACGCGGCCGCGGTGGCGCTGACCAGGGAGTATTTCCCAACGGGCACGTCAGCTAGTTGACACGGATCGTCGTCCCCCCCCACACACCCCACCACCAACGCGCGCAAGAGCGTTCGAATGATTTCCACGTGCGGCGCGAGGGCCGCTTAGCCCAATTGACTGAACATGTTGAGCAGACCTTTGGTGCTGTTAAAAAATCGCAGGAGTGCGAGCGCAGGCATGTTTTGAAACCAGATGTTGCAAAACCGTGTGTCTTTCTATGTGTTCGAGACACTCGACTTTGAAAACCTTCGTTCAACTGAGGTTGTTGAATTATTTTGGCATGCGCGCGCGACGACGCGCGCCTGCGCATTGCGTCGCATATGTTGCAAGGGGTTCTTGCGACAGCACGCGCGCAAAAGGCGTTCGAACGATTCCGACATGCGCGCGCGCGAGAGGCCCGATGGGCAATAAAGTATGATAATGTCGCAAGAACTCCATCGCAAGTTCGTTTAAACAGTTTGTGTTGCAAAACCATGTGTTTTTTACATTATCTCGTGACACTCGATATTGATATCCTTACGACACCTACGCTTTTTAGGGTTTTTTTTTTGCATGCGCGCGCGACGACCGCGCGTGTGTATTTCGTCCCATCCTCTGCAAGGGTTCCGATAAACAGAGGACCAGCCTGCCCGGAATGCTACGCGTCAGTTTTTTTGATGGGCCATGGAGCAGATTCATACGTAAATTGCGATACGGAAAGTGGAACTGGTAGTGCTGGGGGGTGGGGAAAGTCCGCATATTCAATTGGAAAGGAGAATCTACTTTGTGCAATTCACGCTGCCGAACATGAAATTGTAAATTTCATTGCTCGCGCAATCATCCCACCCACCCATCTGCAACTCGGTTGGCAAAACCCACGCTGCAGCGATTGCGATGACTGCTTGGCGCTGGCTGGCACATCGCTGCAGCCGCGCTAGCGCGCCCAGGCTCGCGCGCAGAGCGGCCAGCCTATCTCCCGCGATCGACGCGGCCGCGGTGGCGCTGACCGCTGGACACTTCCCGGCGCGTCTCGCGGGCCGCGCTGACGCAAGGGAATCTCAGCGCGGATCGGTGGTTCCGGCAGGTGCGGTATTTTGGCGACGTCGACAACGGCACACCCAGTCATGAATAGTAGCGATGTTGGTGACGGTATTGACCATGACGACGGCACGGCTATTGATTGCGCCGATGCTGACCACGCCGATGACGATGCTGGCGCCCACGCGTCGGCGATCAAGATTTTGAAAGGATTTCGGCATGCCCGCGCGGCCGACGCGCGCGCGTGGTCCGCGTGGGGTTCTTTGACAGGGATCGTGCCCCACTGCCGTCCCCCCAGCACGCGCGCAAGGGCATTTAAATGATTTTGACACGCGCGCGCGAAAGGCCTGCTTGGTCACATTCGATGACACGTTGAGAAGCCCAGGGCTCCTTTGCGAGTTCGCAAGAGCGCGGGTGCTGACACTATTGAAAGACAGCGTTGCAAAACCAGTTGCTGTATATGTGTCTTCAGCATTCGATGTTGAATCCCGTGCGAAACCCAATGTTTCCAAGGATTCTGGAATGCGCGCGTGACGAGGCGCGCGCGTGTGCAGTTCGTATCGTGTTGCGGGAGGTTGTTCTTCTTTCTTATCTGAAGACGGTGATTGCGGATAAACAACTGCACGCGTACAATTTCATCAGGTGAGGATGGGGGGGCGGTCGATAGTGGCTTGACTGCGATTGTCTGATTTCATAAAACAGATGGTGATAATGCGTCTGTTCATGGCACATCACGAGGCCGAACGGATATCGGTGGGGGGTAGATCCTGATTTTTTTAACGTAAACCAACATGGTACAGTATATTGTAGGATGCATGTGGTGCACAATCTATGTGGTGCAACGGCGATAAGGCGGCGACGACGGCGAAAACATAGCCGCCAGACCGCGACACCGGCCAAGATGACGGGCGGCGACGAGGCGGCGACCGGGAGGCGACGGCGACAACCCATCCGCCAGACCGCCAGACAGGCCCAGACGACAGGCGGCGACGAGGCGGCGACGGCGGCAACATAGCCGCCAGACCGCCACACCAGCCCAGTCCCTCAAGTGCAAACGCTGTTTGGGGGGTTGTATAGTGTGAAGTAAATGGACAGAAGAGATTATAACAGAGCAAAGCGAATGAATGACGTATCGAACGTCACAAACGTCACGACGTCACGCCGGTCCCATCGCGAGCATAGTTGTTGTTTTGTTCTCCCCAATTCGACTAGACGTAAGAGTGACCTTTCGCCGGAGCGACATTTGGTGCGGGCCCACTGGGGTGCCCCGATCGCCGAACGCGAGGCAGCAGACGCGTCTTGCGCGCTTGCTTTTGGCCCCCCCGCGGCCCCAAAAAGCCGCGCACCAAAGGTCACTCTTACCCAGGGTCACTCTTGCGCGTAGCCGACCAATCCGAGGGGATGGGCTTGCTAGATTCAAGGGGCAGAGATGCCAATCCGCCTCCTCCGGCATCCTGCATACCTCGGCCGCCCAAAGCGTGCCCAGTGTTCCCTGGGTATCCCGCCCCGCGTCTTCGACGAATGACGGTTGCATACAGCTGCCGCCAGGCCCCCAGGGTGCCCGTGTTCCCTGGGGATTCCGCCTCGCGCTCTCGGGTGGGGATCGCTCGAAGCAACATGATTGTTTTTAGCCTCGGGGGGGATTCTCGTTGCCACGGCTGCATTCCCCTCGGCCTTCGTGGTCAGACCATACCCGTGGGAGGAGTCCGGGAGCAATTCAAGCCAGAATCTGCCAAGATTCCAATGCCATCGACACCTGACAGTTTTTGCTTCGGCCTGGGCCCAGCCCCTCTTCGGCCCCCGGAGCGGTGACGAGTGGATCTCCGGGATCGGAATAACAGCGCCCAGGATCCGCAGCCGCGATTGGCTCGCAGCCGACGGGGCAAGCAGCAGGCATCCCAGCCGGCGCGCGGCCAGCGGGGCTCCGCTCGAAGCGATGCTGGTGCCTGCGTCCCCGTACGTGGCCGATCTACAACTCGGCAGGGCCCCCGGCGCCCTGCCGCCGCACCCCGTCGTGCTCTTCGCGGCCGCGCCCCTCGCGCTGCTCCCGGGCTGCGCGCTGGGCACGCCGCCGCCGCCGGCCGCAGTTTGCACCTCCTCGCGGGGCTCGAAGAACCACTTCCGGGGCCAGTGCCGCCCGTGCCGTTTCCACGAGGCCCCCGAGAAGTGCCCCCGCGGCGAGGACTGCAGCTTCGGTCGGTCGTCGTCCTGGGGAGCTTTTGGCAGCGGGGGCCCGGGGGCACGGCGTTTTCCACCCAGCGCCGCTTTCGCGGGCACTTCTTGTCGCGGGTGGTTGCTATTGTTGTTTGTTCTCACGTTGCCGCTTGATGCGGTAAACTTACACGGTGCACCGCACATTGACACAACATGACGAGTAGCCCACCTTCTTGGGACCACTCCAGAGTTAGGGTGTTCCACCAACCAGCGCGCGCCCGCGGCGAGGACTGCAACTTCTGCCACTTCCCCCACGGCGAGGAGAAGTTCGCCAAGATGGATGCCTTCAGCACCAAGGCCAGGATGCGCAGGCCGCGCAGGCCAGGCGGGACGACAGGGGGGGACCAGGGCAACCCCAGGGGTGGGAAATCAACCGCAACCGCATGCAGCACGTTCCCAGACCCCCTGAGGTCATGAAAAAAAACATGACGGGAGTTTTATCATCTCCTTCGGCCTCCAGGGGCCCTCGCCGGGCCTGGGGTCCGTCAAACAAGTATTTCAGCTGACATCTCTTTTTGACCCTCCCGGGGACTTCGGGGGTCGACGTCGCAATCAAAAACATGAAGTCCGGATTCTCGGATCGATGGGGGCACTACTAGCAGCACCGGCCCGAAAGCAGCCCCCAGAGCCAGACTCTGCGCCCGGCCCGCACTCACATCAGCTGGTCGGAGGCCCGGGCCTGGACTCCCTTTGACGCCGCTTATACAGCACCCCGAAAGATCACGACCAGAGTCCTCCAGGGGCTACGATGGGGGAGGATAGGCACAGCGGGGGGACGCATGGACTCCCGCTCGCCCATGGATCGCCGAGAGGGGCCCGATAGCCCCAGCCTGCCCAGGAACGTGTGCTTCCACTCGCGGGGGCATGTCGCCAATCTATCGGCGATGTACCGCCGATTGCAGGTCGATATTTCCCCCCCTTCTGCTAGTCCCTTTTATCGTTGCCCCTCAGCCTTAGACCCGACCTTTCTGCAGCATCGTTCGAGCTAGATCAGTGTGTGAGGGTCCCATGGGCCCGAGACTGGGCGGAGGCGGCCGCTGTGTTCAGAAAAGACAGCACCGGGATCTCCGGGCACCTGGCCATGCGGGCCTCGGTGGTTTTTGGAAACGGCAGAGCCGTTTTCGTAATCCCGTTCCCAGAGATGTCTGGATCTGGAACCTGAAGGCGGTAGAAAACATATATCGCCGACGCCGGGAAAAGCCTCTCCGGGAGCGAGCAGACGCGGCGCGGGAGCCGGGAGCAAAGAGCGGCAGAACGAACACGAAAACAGGACGGCCCCGCCGCCTCCAAGAGCCATCCAGGCCTGGACCCCTTCGTTCGGATGCAACTCCTGCAGCATATTCTGATTTCGCCCTGGTCCGAAGTCCGGCTTCATCCGGCAAAATCCCGCTTCATCCGGCTGAAGTCCGCTCAACCCCGCTTAATCCGGTCGAATCCGAGGCCCACGCCGGCGTCACAGCCCCGCAACGGGGCTTCTAACCCGCCTTATTTTGTTTCCGACGAAAGCCTCCTGACCTCCGCCCGACCCGCGCAGGGGCGCGGCGCCCGGGACGGGCCCGCCCGGCCAGCGGCTCTCCCTGTGCGACCACCTGGACCTGGCGGGCTCATGGAGCGGCGGCCAGCGGCCGGCCGCCGCCTCGGGCCTCGCGGCCGGGCCCAGGGCCGACGCCCCGGGCCCCGCCCACGGAGCTGCGTGGCAGGCCTGCGGAGGAGGAGAAGGGGCCGATGCCCCCGCCCTCGGATACAGGCGGCCCGGAACAGTAGGTCGGCCCTGCCAGATCAAGGAGGTACCCTCGTGTCCTGCGTCGTGCGGCCCATGCCTCCTGCAGCCTCCTGCATTTCTGTGGCAAGGTGGCCCTCGGAAGGGTCTTGTGTCCTCTCGCGTGTCCTCTCCAATCAAGTCCGACTGTAGTCCCGGCAGGCCTCCCACGAAGAATTCGCAGGAGCCTGCTTTTGTTTTTGTTTCTTATTCTGAGCCGGTGACGTCCGTCATCTGGGGGGGGAGGGAGCCGAGGAATGGGAATGCCCAGGAATGACCACGGACGGGAATGCCCAGGAATGACCGAAGACGGGTAGCAGCCGCATGTAGGTGGCGATATGCACCACAGCGCCCGTGCACAGAGTGCTCGCGTGCACCACAGCGCCTGTGTACATCTGTACACCACACGGCCTATGTACACCACAGTAGCCGCGTGCAACACAGCGCCAGTGTGTGCCACAGTGCCTGCGTGCACCACAGCGCTTGTGTACACCACAGCGCCTGCGTACACCACAGCAGCCGTGCGCAACACGGCACCAGTGTACACCAAAGTGCCCGCGTGCACCACAGCGCCTGTGTACACCGCGGCTCCTTCGTGCACCACAGCAACTGTGTGCAACAGAGCACCATTATTGTATCTAGAATGTTGAAGAAACCATTATGACAAAAATTTAGCGCCTATGGATTCTACAGCAAACAAAATTGTCTTATGGAATTTGGACCGGAGGACCTTATGGAAAAAGAAGCGCCGCTGGAATCTACGAGTCCTCCCAAGCCCTCCCGCACCATCCTAACTCCTCCTATCTGCGTCCACAAGGCTCCCGCAAAAGTGGCCGTCCGAGAACCAAGTGGACCGATTCAATCGATCATTCTGCGGTGCACAATGAGATGCGCACGTGCGCTGTAGCGCCGACCCGCGCGACGGGGGGAAGGGTGAGCGAGGAGGAGGAAGAGGAGGATGAGGAGGAGGAGGAGAAGGAGGAGGAGGCGAAGGGGGGTGGAGGAGGAGGGAAAAACATTGCATCCCATTATCAGCACTTCCTTGGCGTGGTGCGCAGCTGTCCGCAGCAGATCCTCCACATGCTCCTCTTATTCCCTACCTAGGCTCTGCCTAGAAGGGTTCTTACTCTGTTAGCTTAAAGGGCCGGACAGTGGACCCCGCCCCCGGCGGTTCCCCCAGTATCCGCCCCGCGGTTCCCCCAGTTACGTCCCCTTAGCTTAGCGTTGCGTATCTCATCTTAGCTTAGCCTAGCTTAACTTAGCTTAGCTCAGCTTAGCCTAGCCTAGCTTAGCTTAGCTTAGCTCAGCTTAGCCTAGCCTAGCCTAGCTTAACTTAGCTCAGCTTAGCTTAGCGCACCACAGCGCAGCATTAGCATAGCATAGCATAGCATAGCATAGCGCAGCATAGTATAGCTCAGCATAGCATAGCATAGCATAGCATAGCATAGCATATCATAGCGCAGCATAGCATAGCATAGCATATCATAGCTTAGTTTAGCATAGCACAGCGCAGCATAGCATAGCATAGCTTAGCATAGCGGAGCCTAGCATAGCATAGCATAGCACAGCGCAGCATACCATAGCATAGCATAGCATAGCGCAGCATAGCATTTCATAGCATAGCATAGCGCAGCATAGCATAGCATGTCATAGCATAGCGCAGCATAGCATATCATAGGATAGCCTAGCATAGCATAGCATAGCGCAGCAAATCATAGCATAGCATAGCGCAAAGCAAAGGCAAGGCAATGCAAAGCAAACTCAACACCAATGCGAACTTGTAGATGTAGATGTAGATGTAGGTGTAGGTGTAGGTGTAGATGTGGATGTAGATGTAGATGTAGATGCAGATGTAGGTGTAGATGTAGGTGTAGATGTAGATGTAGATGTGAGTCTCGCTGTTGATGTTGATGTAGATGTAGATGCAGGTGCAGATGTTAATGTAGCTGTCGGTGTAGATGTAGATGTTGCTTTCCTAGATGCTCCAACTCCTAGGTAGGGTCGCACTGGGATAATTTGTCCTGTGCACGCAGGCAGTGTGGTGTACACCAGCGCTGCGTTGCACTCGGATTATGTGGTGTACGCAGGCGTTGTGGTGTGCACAGGCGCAGCGTTGCACGCAGCATTGTGGTGTACACAGGCGCTGTGGTGCAATTGGTTGCTGCGGTGCACACACTCGCTGTGGTGCACACGAGCGCTGTGGTGCACGCAAGCATTGTGGTGTACACAGGCGCTGCGTTGCCCACGGCTGTTGCGGTGTACGCAGTCGCTGTGGTGTACACCGGCGCTGTGGTGTAGATCGCCACCTACACGTTGCTCCTACTTGGCTTCGGTCATCCCAAGGCATTCCCGGGCGCCGCCGGCGCGGAACGTGACGTCGGGGGGGGGGGCGGGGCCGACAACGGCCACTATCCCGGAGAATGAAAAACAGGTTCCCAGAGTCGGGCCTCCCGCGACAAATTCGTCCGGATCTGCCGCGAAGAATTCGGGAAAACCTGGGCTTGCCGCGAGAAAGTCGCGAGAGTCCGTGCCTCCCGCGGAACATTCGCGCAAGTCCCCTCGCCACGGCGGGGTTCGCCGCGGCTCGGCCTGGACTCACCCTGGGAGAAGTCCGCGGAGCAGCGGGCAGGGGCACCTCTTGATTCCCCCCCGCCCAGGCCTTTGGCGCCGCGGGCACGGAGCGGCCGACGGCGCTGCTCCCGAGCGCGCCGCCCGAGTGTTGCGTCGCGGACCAGGGGCAGCTCGCGGACCAGCCTGGGGCCGATGCCCTCGGCGCCGCCCGCGGAGCTGCGTGGCAGGCCCTGGGCGCCGCGGACACGGAGCGGCTGACCGCGATTCTCCTGAGCGAGCCGCCCGAGCACGGCGTTGCGGACAAGGAGCGGAGGAGAGCACCAACCGCACACCTGCACCGACCAAGGTGGGGCCCGGGGTCGGTGTGTACTCGGGCCGTGAGATTGGGTGGGGTAGGGAAAAGGGAGAGTTACGAAACCTGCTGCGCGCAGCTGGTTGCGGCCCCGCCGCTGGGTCCATTCCTCGATGCATGGGCGCCTCCCGGTGCCAATGGGCGCCAGGGCCAGGGAAGCCAGCTGCGTGAGCTGAGTCTCTGCCCTGCCCTTGTCTACTCTACCCCTCCGTCCCCCCGATCTGGGCCCTCCTGGCTTGTCGAGGAAGGCGCACGTGTGTACATATGTATAGACGTGTAGCTGCACCGACCCTGGGCCCGGGCGTGACCTGGCCAGCCGTCGGTACAGGAGTGCCGACGGCGCCCTCCGACAGGAGCGGTTGAAGGCCATCCTCGTGAGCGCCCAGCCCGAGCACTACGACGACTGACCGGAGGAATGGGGGAGGGGGAGGGGGAGGGGGAGGGGGGGGGGGAGGGGGAGGGGGGGGAGGAGGAGGGGGGGGGTGGGGAGGGAGAGGGAGGAGGAGGAGGATGAGGAGGAGGAGGAGGAGAGGAGGGTTTAGGATGAGGGAGAGAGGATGAGGAGGAGGAGGAGGGGATGAGGGGGAGGAGGAGAGGGAGGAGGAGAGGAGGAGAGGAGGAGCAGAGGAGGAGGGAGGAGGAGGGAGGAGGAGGAGGAGGATGAGGAGGAGGGGAGGGTAGGAGGGATAGGAGACCTCGAGCCGCTCCATCGACGGCGCCCCCCAGCTCGGCTCCTCTTCGGGTCCCCCGTCCCGCCGCCGTGCGCGCCTCGACCCGGCCGCAGGCCCGCCGCCTGGGGCGCCCGTGTCCCCCTCCCCCTCTCGTTCCCCGTCAGGTGGGGGCACCGCCCCCTTCCTCGCAGGGTGCCCGGAAGCCGCTGTGAGTCGAAGCTTTGCGCTTTGCCAGGGCGCCCGCAACAAAACACCCAGGCCAACAGGCCCAGCCACAACTGGGGTGAGCTGGGTCCTTTTATTTAAACTTTTTTACTTTCTTCTACCCCCCCACCCCCCCCCCCCCCCCCCCCCTGGGGGAACCCATCATTTCGACCCCCTCTCGGATATCGTCGTGCGATAGGGTATCCCCCCCAAAGGGGGTAAGGACCACAGCTCCCCCAGTCGTGGCTGGTCGGTTTGCTCCGGCCGCCGCGGAGGCGCAGCACTGCATGCGGAGAGTGCGACTGTTTCTTGTTTGCGCCAGCGTCCGCCAGCAGCATCTGCGCGGGCTGGGCCCCTTGAGGACCGCCAGTAACTACTCGGCCCGCAAAACGACGCCGACGAGTCAATGACTTGCAAATTCACATAGCTGGCACGAACGTTCGGGAATAGCCTACTTCCCGTGGACGCACGTCCCGTGGGCGTTAACCCATGGTGGTGCCCACCAGTACCTCGCCTCTTCCTCCACACTACAGAACAATGGCGCCTCCTATCTCATGTGCCTCAGCATGATTTTCGGAATGCACGCCCGCGGGCACATAGCCCGTGTGGCACAGCTGTAAATTTGTGTGCGACCCACGCAGCAGTACACGCAGCAGTAAGTTGACGCTAGCACAGATAACCGAATTGTTAGGCAGTTCAGTTGTCCCGGCAGCTTTGCCAGCGACATGGACTCTTAATTAGTGAGGTTAGGCCGCGCGCAATGGTATCATTCGCTGTTCCCAGCGAATGTATTAGGGCGATCTTGCCGTCCTGGATGGAGATGACGAGTAAGAGGTGGAGGAGGGGAAAGAGTGCGCTTTTGGACTGCCCCCGTGTCCTCGAAGCCACCTGTACAGTCTGGGTTTAATTCGATCCTATTGCAGAGGTCACACGGCAGACTCAGAACAGCAGACACCGCTTGTCGATGAGATAGTGTTGGCCCGATACGCACAATTGTCGATCCACCCGAAGGGCGAATTTCTACTTACAAATTAGTTTCGCACGAGCTGGTGTTGACATGGCGCTGCCATTTAGTCCGCCGCTCTTGTGCCCCCAACTTGACGCGAGGGTACGAGCCTTCAGTCGTCTTCTGCTTGCTTGGACGGCCACTGTTCAGATTGCATGTGCACCGTGTGCACCATGCTTCAAGGCAGCTGTCCTGAACACCCGAAAATTGTGCCCAAGATGAGGTCAAGGGATGAGGGTGACCCACGTTGCGGAAATGCCTATGTAGGCATCGTCGGGCCTGGAGGGAGAAAAGAAGAGAGAGAGAGAGAGAGACGGAGAGTACAAGCGTTATATATACATGTATATATGTCAGATCAAGAGAGAGAGAGAGGAATATGGAATGGGAGTGGGAGGGCGAGCGAGAGAGAGAGAGAGATGAGAGGGAGAGGAGAGAATGAGAGAGAGAGAGAAAGAGAAAGAGAGAGAGAGAGAGAAAATGGAAGAGGCTATCTAAAAAGAGCACATCCATATCTTCATATGTAGAAAGCTATGTATATAATAGACACAGATAGCAGAGAAAAAAAGAGGGAGTGAGACCGGGCGGGCGAGCGAGCGCGCACGTGGACCGATATGCCTCCGGTGCTGCACAGCCACAGTGCCGCGCCAGCCTCGCCCTCCAGCCGATGGCCTCCGACGGGCCCCCGCCCCCCTCCCGAGGCAGGGGGGGGGGTCCAGCTGCGGCGCGCGTCTCGCCGGCGCGGCCCACCCAGAGGAGGGGCTCGGGCGGCGCGGGCGGCCGAGGAGAGGCGGGCCGCGCGCCTCCTGTGCGGGCGCGGCGAGGGGTGGCGGCGGCGGACGGGCCGAGCGGGATCGGCCCGGCTGCCCAAGCCGGGGCCGGAATCTGCGGACTGTGGCATTCTGTGCCTCTCCTCCTCTTCCTCCTCCTCTTCCTCCCTCCGGACGTGGACTCGGGCGTGGCCGAGCCGCTCCTCGGGCGCGTGATCAGCGCCAAGCAGGCCCGCGCCGCGATGCTCTCCCTCGCTGGCTCCGAGAAGCAGCGCCTGCACATCGTGACCATGGAGCTCCCCGACGAGCTGGACCTGCTGACGCTTCAGGAGAAGGCCAAGGCCATCTCCCTCCCCGTGCGAAAGGAGGGCTGTGAGCTGCCGCCCGCCCGCGCTTCCCCCTTCCCCGCGTTCCTCTGCCGCTCCGACCTCCTTGCCCTCCGCCCCTCCTCCTCGATGCGCGCGCACCTAGACGACGTTGCAAATCGTAATCGCAATGTCAGGCAAGATGCATGTGTAAAGCATAGATGTGATAAGCAGGCTGGAGCTGGACTGCGCCCCCCCCCCCCCAGACGCTCCAACCTCCTCTTCCTCCCTCCCTCCCTCTGCCGCATCGCGGCCTTGCGCGATCCCATCGGCCTGCAGTGTCAGGGGATGCCGCCGGCAGGCCGCGGGGGTGTATAGTGCCATTGGACACCCGACGGGGGACCATGGCACTGGTCTTGAATAGCTGGGCGCGTGTGGTCTC